TTATGTTCCAGTAAAACAAGCAAACAGAAATTTTAATAAAAGCTGTTGGTGGGCCAGATGTGGGTAGTGGTTTGCCTTCTTCTGTGTTAGTGTAATGATGTGTCAGCCTGAGCACTTAATAGGCGCTGAATCTAAAAACTTATATTCTGGCCTTGGGATTGATTTTCAACCACATCTACTGTTAGAGACAAGGCACTTTTAAAAATTGCTATAGAGACCTTCCAATTTTTTTCTTGTGCTCTTATTTGGACATTTTTTTTTTTCTCTGTTCTTTTCTTTAAGTACACACTCTAGTTTTGTTAAAAACTTCAGCACATGCTTCAGTTGTTTTCAATCATTGCTATTAACCATAGTTACTAGGTGCTACAGACACAATTTCTCAAAATCTTCCTTATCACCTATAGTACATTGTGGCTGGCTATATAATTGATGGAGTCCAGCACAAAATAAAAATGCAGACCCCTATTCAAAAAGCTGGAACCGTTTTTCTTTCTTCAATGATCTCTTTCTCTCTCTCTCAACTGTCATGCAGATTTTTATTTGCCATTAAGTATCACATTGGCTCAGGCATGGGGAAAGCTGTGGCACAAGTGCAGAACCTCATAGGTGCCTAGGGCCCTGACCTGTGGCACAGCGGTACAGAATGTGCATGTGTGACCTCCACCCTCCCTATGCTGCACCCAGGTCTCCACTTGGGCAGAGAGCAGGGGCAGAGGAGCAGATGACCAAGAAACAGTTGCAGGAAGGTAAAGAGGCAGTGCAGGGGGAAGCGGAGTAGGACTGCCGGTGAACTGAAGCTCCAAGCCCTTGGCACATGGCCCATTGTCCCATGGAACTTCCCTTACATAACACAAATTTTAAGATAAAACTATTAAAAGAATTTCAAGAGAGTAGACTACAGGGCATTAAACCCCGAGGAAAGGGCCTTTGTCACTGCATTGGTTGTGTGATCATAGAGTTGATACTGACTATATCCCGTCTTCCAATACCACAACCAATGACAATTTGAGTAACTATGATGCCACTGAAAACCAAGCATTACCATTTTCTCTTTTTTTTCCTCATAAGATATCCATGTACTTATTATATATATATATATATATATACAACCTAATCCCAGATTCACATTCCAAAGACCCATTTCTTTGGGTCATTCCTGGTCTAACTACTGTATCAGTAAGTGTCTCAGCAGGTACAGAGACTATCCATTCAAAAGTGGTAATTAAATAAATTCAAAGAAAAGACTATTTACAAAGTTTTGAGACAGGGTTATGTAAAAATAACAAGGGAGGCAAGCACTCTGGAGAAAATTGGACTAGAAAGCAGTACCACTTTTAAATCAGTAGGGACAAAGACAGCTGTCTTAAGAGAAAACTCCAGCTGTAAAATTATCAACAAAAGCTGCAGCCTTCAGTGGAGGAACTCATCCACTGTCAACCACATACCAGGAAGGAGGAAGTCCGTGGAATACTTCTTTCTACCTCTCCTCCCTCCACCCTCTATTCTCCCACTGGTGCCTCCTCCCATTTGCTAACTAAAGCACTCTAAAAGGTGGAATTCCTAAGGATCACACTTTGGAGGCATAGAACATAGAATGGGTTGTAAAAATAGAAATAACGGAGCCAACAGAAGATCCAAGGGAAGTCATTTTTCAGTTATGTGCCCACTGCTGTATATATAACAGTATCCTATCCAACCACCACTAAAAATATAATAATAAAGTAATAATTAACGGATTGGATTGTTAATGTAATAGATTAGGTTTGGTGAAATTTGAGGTTTATTGTGAGGCCAACCAATCCTCAATGATTTTCATATTCTAATAATTAAAGCTTAAGAATCTCTAACTGGGAACTAACTGTTCAGCTAGCACACAGTTTCACATGCATCATAATGGGGTTGGTTTGAAGGGTAAATAAGCTTTAGAGTCATTTGTCAGGAATAGTTTTTTGTTATTTCTTTCTTACAGTAACAACATTATTATAGTAATAGTAATATTAATAATAGGTAAGGCACTAAACTGAATACACAGAAATTTTCAGGACTGCAATTTGAAATGGATTATCAGAGATAGTGCTCCCCATGTTCTCATAGGATGCCAGACTCTTTTCATAACTACTTGGAATACAATAAAATAAAGATAAAATAGAAGACATTTGGAGGATAAAATATCTCACAAAAAAAATTCATGTAATACAGATTGTGGTTACTTAGGATATTTATCATACTCAAAGGTAATCTCAAGAATGATTGTATATTCTAATAACAAGAATGTGAATCAATTTACTCAGTATTCACTAAGTGTCCAACACTGTTCTGGTGTGCTTGAAGTACAGATAAATTGTTATTTATTTCTGCTTAAAAGCTGATTAACTGACTTTCAAATTATTTAGAAAAATAATCACCTCTTTATCAATCAGGGTTTCTATTTGAAAACAACAGAAGCCACCCCAGTTAGTTCAAGTAGAAAAGCAATTTATAAAAGAGTATCACAAAATCTCAGGGATCAAGTGTTAAGTTTATAAGCTATCCAACTAAAGAAATAATACTACATTGCTAAAACTGGGCAATGGACACATAAACCTCAGCAACTCAACCCCCAAATCTTTATATTTTAGTCACCAACATCATGAGGAAAAAAATGGATCTCTTAATTTATCAAGTACTTCACATTGGTTTCTTCTGAATCAAGGTCACACACTGGGGTCTCTGACTGGTGAATCTAGGTTTCTGTTTCTGTTTTTTTAACTGCAAGAAAGACTGAAAATTTGAAGTTCTGGCTTCTTTTTTAAAGGGTGGGAATAGTACACAAATAAAATTATGGCAAATACTATAAACATTGGAAAGTCATTAAAAAGGACTTCTGCATGATCAAATAATGTGGGCCAGATTTACTTCTATATGAAAAAAAAAACAGGAAATAGGACACCATGTGTTAAATAATTATTTTAAACATTAAATAATACACTTTTAAACAACTTACAGTTCAAAGAGAATACCACAGGGAAAATTACAAAATATTATGAACTATATAAAAATGAACTATATAAAAAAAACAATAAACAAAATAAATAAATAAATATTTGTGTCTACAACTAACATAATTCTTACAGAGAAATTGATAGATTTAAATGTTTATATCAAATGAGAAGAAAGGTCCAAAATCAATGCTCTAGGTTTCTACCGCTTAAAAAAAAAAAGCTAAAAAACAAGAGTAAAGCCCAAAGAAAATAGAAAAAAAAAAAAAGTAAAAAGAAGAAAATTCAATAAAATAAGAAATGGATAAAAACAGAGAAAATTCATTAAAACTCAAAAGCAGTTATTCTGAAAAGATCAACAAATTGAGTTTGTAATTAAAACCTTTCCACAGAAGATATCCTAAGCCCAGATGGCCTCTTTGGCCCAATCCGTCAGACATTTAAGTAAGAAGAATTATCAATCCTTCTCTAAATCTTTTAGAAAAACAAGGAATGTAACTAAACTTTTGTAGCTAGCATTTATAAACTGATCTTACGTGGCTAGCACCAAAACAGACCAAGCTATTTTAAGAAAAGAAAAATAAAGACTGATATTCATCACTAACATACACAGAACAGTCTTAACTAAAAATTAGCAAACAGAATGCAGTAACATATCTATAGATAAGTAGATAGATAGATAACACATTGGGACCAAGTTAGTTTTACCAGACCTAAAATACTGGCTTACCAATTAAAAATGAATCAGTGTAATTCAGCACATTAACAGAATAAAGGAGAAAAAAAACATATGATCATCTTAATCACATAATCACCTTAATACATATTGAAAACACTTAATAAAATCAACACCCATTCATAGTAAAAATTCTTAAAAAGCTAAGACCAGAGAGAAATTCCTCAACCTGCTTTGGGGATGTATCAAAATCAAATATAATTTCATGTGTGAGGATGAAGAATGAGGGAGTATATGGGAACTTTCTGCATGTTCTGCGGAATTTTTCAGTACACCAGAAACTAAAAATAAAGTATACTAATGTATAAAATAAATATGCATATGAATATAAAAATGGACAAATATATGTGTAAGCATATAAATATATATAACTTATAAAATAACATTTAAGGATACAAAGTAAAATCTGAATAAATTAAAAAGGGGTTTACCGTCTTGGAAAAATCGAATCCTTTTATATCCCTGCTTAAAATCATCACTAGCTTCCCACTGCTCCTATGATAAAGGCTAAACTGCTTAACCAAATGGATGTGGCCCTGCATTGTCCTGACCGCCCGCTGCCTCCTTGTCCTCACTGCGGTACACTGACTGGCTTCCCACCGCCACCATCTCTGCTCTCTGGGATCCAATTATACCTAAGGACATCCTAACACATGGGAGGAAATGACTCCCCCAAACTTCTCTCTCCGCCCGGTCTCTGTTGTGCTCCTGCCTCAAGCTGGGTAGGAGGGGCTGAGAAAGTGATTCTCATGCTCTCTGTTCTGGACTATTCCCCTCTATCTCCTCTTGGTAATTTTCCTTGACCCCCAAATCCAAATGACGTGTTTCCTTAGCATCCTGTGCTTAGTCCCCAACTTCTCCAACAATGTTCTGTACACCTGAGAACGGGGCTCGTCTTTTTCCCTCAGCCTCCGGCACACAATAATTACATATTCCATAAACAGACCAAATTTCCATTTTCTTGTACGTGAAATAAAGGAGTAAGACTAGAGAATCTATTGGCAGTAACATGGCTCAAATAATCCCAATGCCAGGAAACACCTTTTTCTTTGTTTTCTTTTGGTCTAAGCATCTGACACCCTCAGGAGTCTGGAAATCGAAAATATAGTTGCCACGAGCCCTCTGGACGTCACGTGTCCAGTTCAGCCTACTGGCAAGCAAAGAGGACTTCATTTCCCAGCAGACATGCGGCCTCTACCGCAGCCTCTCCCGCTGCCCCTCCCTCCACCCCACCCCACCCGCACGCCTGGAGTCAGGGCCGCTTAGAGCGTCCGAGGTAATCCCCAATGCTGAGTGAGTGGCAGCTGAGGTCCAGAGTATGGTGTATCGGTCGCCTGGTCTCTGTGGCCCACCACATCTGTGGTCTGTGCTGGGGCAGCATGGGCTCAGGGACCATAGATCTGATCCAGACTGCCATTTGTGTGAAGTTGGAGCCCCTGAGGACCGTGGTGCTGGAGCTGTTCAAAGAGAGCTGTGGCTACGAGATCCCACCAGGCAGCAAGATGCTCTTCTACATGGCCATAGTAAATTCTAGCTTAAAGGGAGTGATTTGGCCACACTGCGCTGTTCAAAGAGCTGGCCAGGCTGCTCCACGTCTTGGCCATCCAGGTGCAGACCCCTGGCCATCCAGGTGCAGACCCCTCCCCTGGAGGGAGAACCCTTACCTGGACAGGAGCCTCCCCTGACAGGGTGGGAGTAAAAACCTCGAGTAAAAACTCCCTGAATCCCAAGAGAGGCTGAGGACCACGATCTGAAAGGGCCGGTGAGAATTAATTAACTGGGAGCCTTGTTTCCCTCAATACTGCTGGGGATTTGTTAAGGGTGAAGACTACTGGGCCCAATTCTACCGGTCCATATTCATCAGGAATAGCAATTTATTCAGGCCAAAGCTAACCCAAGGAAAAGGCAGAATCATTCACTACTGCTCTTGTCCCGGACTATTCAGGAAGGACTGCGCAGCTATTCCATGTGCAATGGTGACTGAGGAAACACACCTGGCCTGAAGAGTTGGACATAATCCGGTATGTTAAAATAGATATTATCATATGGGTTACAAATAACTAATTAAATAAGTAAATAAAATTTATACAGATTAGAAATAAAGTGACATTTCAGATGACAATACTCTGTGTATAGAAAATCTCAAGATATATATAAAAAGAAGTAAGTCTAATAAGATAATGTATCAATCTCACAAGATTCAAGGAAATACACAGAATTTAATTGTATTCCTATATTTAAGCAATGTATAGTTGAAAATTGAAATTAAATACCATTAACAGTAACATCTCTGTATATTAAATACTTTAGGAAAAAATCCAGAAAAATTTGAGCAATATTTGTACACAGAACCCTACAAACCATTGCTGAAAGAAATTATATTTTCCTTCTAAATTGATCTATCGATTGAACATTAGCCCAGTCAAAATTTCTAGAGGTCTGTGTTTTCTACAAATGGACAAACTGAAATTATAATGATATGGAAATTCAAGGAACATAGTATGATCAAAACAATTTTCAAAAAGAAAATCAATGTGTAGAAAGGCTTACACTATTTGATTTCAAGATTTCCTTTAAAGCTAGGGTAGTGAAAACAGTGTGGTGTTTATGTAAGAATATGCAAATGTATATATAACTGGAACAGATTAGAGAGTCCAGAAATAAATCCATAGGTATGTGGCCAGTTGACTTTCAACAGAGGTGCAGGTATTCAATGGGGAAAAAGCTAGTGTTTTCAACAAATGGAACAATTCATAATCTCATATAAAAATGAACTATATGAAGTTGAACTTGGAATGTATCATAGTTCTAAAATTACAAAATTTTTAGATGAAAACATAGAGGAAAGTATTTGTAAACTTGAGTTATACAAAGACTTCTTAGGAAACAAAAGGTATGAATGATTTTAAAAAATGTTAAAATTAGATTTAGTCAAAATTTTAAGCTATTTCAGAGGACACTGTTAAGAAGATGAGAAGTCTGGGAAAAAAAACCTATGAATTACATAGGAAAGACTAATATCCAGAATATTATACAAACATATACACATGCATACACATGTTTTATATATGTGCATGTAAATATGTATACATGTATATGTGAATATTATTGATTTGTAAGACCATATATGTAATATTATATATTAACAAAATGATAAATGTTTTGAACAGACACTTCAACAAAGAAGATCTGCAGTTGGAAAATAAGTACACGAAAGGCCATCAACATCATTATTTACTAAGGAAATGCAAATTAAAACCATAAGGATATATCAGTACATCTACTAGAATGGCTAAACTTTAGACATGCTAGCCATGATGCAATATAACTCAGTCTCTTATACAGTGCTGAAAGGAATGAAACATTCTATAGCTGCTTTGGAAACAATATGCTAGTTTCATAGTAAATTAAATATTCACTTACAAGCCAGGACTCCCACACCTAGGTATTTACTCAAATAAATGAAATATGTCCGCCTAAAGACTTGTTATATGAATATTCATGGTGGCTTTATTCAGAGTACTTCAAAACTGCAAATGACTTAAATGTCCATCAGTTAATGAATTGAAAACCAAATTACGGCAGATCATACACTAGAATACCATGCTGTGATAAAAAGGAACAAACTACTGGTAAAGGTAGATGAATCTCAAAGGCATTATGCTAAGCACAAGACACCAGACAAAAATCACATAAAATATGCCATTTTTATTACATTCTGGATTAGGAAAAACTATAGTGACAAAAATCAGTGGCTGCCAGTGTCTAGAGAGGTGAGAGGTGATTGGTAGTAAAAGGGCTTGGGGGGAGGAGGCAGTGATAGAATTACTCTGTCTCATTTGTGGTGTATATTTTAAGACTGTTTACACTTGTTAAAACTCGTTAAAATGTACACCTAAAATAGGGTTAATTTATGCATAAAATTATACTTTGCTAAATCTGACTTAAACTTTCAAAGCATATAATATATTATATCTCAAAGGTAGTGTGGGAATACAAGAAAGGCAGAAGAGGCAATGGGCAGTCTAGAAAGACTTCCCAGAGATGATGCTTGAGCTGGGTGTTGAAGCATGACAGCAAGCTACCTAGTCAGGTAAAGACGTAAATGGGGAGAGAGGGTGCATATGAATTGAAGTTTAAAGAGAGTTTCAACAGGTTCAGTAGTGTATGAGCCACCGAGATGTAAGAAAGAGAAGTGAAGTGGTTCACACTTTACGGTGTGAATGAGGAGTTAGCAGGAAATAATGCTGGGTGTGTAGGCAGTGGCTAATACATAACGACCCTCAAATCGTGAGCTGAGATTTTAAATTGTATCTTAAATGTAATGGAGTATAACTGAATGATTTTAAATGAGAGGCTGACTCAATTAGATTTCATTTTTAAAAAACTAGTTGCAATACAGAAGTCAGGCTGAAAGATGGGGAAACAACAAAAAGCCTAGTCAGAAGGGAAAGATGAAAAGGGCCTAAAACAAGACATTGGCAATTACAGTTGGGGAAGACATTTACAAGATGATTCTGCTGCTGAGTAGGCAGGGAGAATCAGAAGATGAGTGTTATTACCAGATTGGATGTTAATCTGATGATTAGTGCTATTCCTGGATTGAGAATGTAGCACTATGGTCAGATTTGCATTAGGAGAAGTTACAGAATCAAAGCTAAAGTATTAAATATGCTGAATCTAGGGTAGCTGTGGGATAATTGAGTATAGACTGATACAGTTTCTTTATTCCTTCCCCACGAAATTGCATTCATCTTGTACTACTTGCCTCTTTAAAACCAATTTTGTCTTATAAGCTTTTTGAATTGAATTGCTTTTTGTTGTTGTTGTTGTACCCTATTCTTATTCTTGACCTCCTTTCCTCTTCTACTATAACGTTATTTATTTTACTATGCAGAGTAACTATGTATATAAATATGCATACACACATCAAATGCTCTCTCACAGACACTTGTAATTTTCAGGTGCCCTCTCTTCTTTTTGACTACACATTTTGTGAAGGCAATAATAGCTTTAATTTCTCCTTAATACGGTGATACTTGAAAATCTCTCTTAAAGGGGCACCTGGGTGACTCAGTCGGTTGGTTAAGCATCTGACTGTTGGTTTTGGCTCAGGTCATAATCTCATGAGTCATGAGATCGAGCCCCGCATCAGGCTCTATGCTCAGCAGGAGTTGGCTTCGATATTCTCTCTCTTTCTGCCCTTCCCCCGCAACCTCGGGCGTGCACACATGCTGTCCCTCAAATAAATATATAAGTCTTTAAAAAAAATCTGTCTTGAAAAATAGCTCAAATAGCTCAAATTCAGGATCTTTGGGTGGCTCCATTGGATATGCATCCATCTCTTGATTTCAGCTCAAGTCATGATCTCAGGGTCCTGAGACGGCTCCACATTGGCCTCTGTGCTGGGTGTGGAGACTGCTTAAGATTCTCCCTCTCCCTCTGCTCCCCCCACCCCCCGTGTGCAGGGGCACATGCTCTCTCTTTCACAAAACAAAACAGAGCATAAACCCCTCAAATTCTAAAGAATTAGGAGTCTCAAGCAGCTTCTCATATTTTCAGGGGAAAATCATGTTTTCTTTGTTGTTGCTGTTGCTGCTGTTATTGTTTATCCATGGCCAAGCTTCTCTATTATTTTGGTTACTGATTCATTTCAGAGCTAATTAAACTTCTATCAGGTATCAGGCAACGGAAGAGAGAGGATTTAATATATAACTGCATCCATTTTGGTATTGATTTTGGGCTGTAAGCTACACTTTGAACTGTTAGAACTCTTTTCTTAGGCTTTTGAAATGGGAAAAAATCCTTTCCATGTGGCCAGAATATTCTTACAGAACAATCACTTCACTTTTTTTCTTGCAAATACTTCAAACTACAATTGGATGATCATGACAGACATCAATGGGTACAAATTAATTAGCAGTTAAGGAAAGTGAATAAATTGTATGAATTGATATGTGGTATGCATGTGTTCTTCTATCTAACTTTTGTAAAAGCACAAAATAAAGATATCCCACATTTTAAGAATACATTATAGTCCATTATGCTAAATTATAAAGCAAATAAAGTATTGGAAAGTTGTAGTATCTTTAAATTCTTAAAAAAAATGTGTTCCAGTTACTCAAAACGACTTGAGATTTGTCTATAAATATATATAGTATAAAATTTTAAATAATATAATATAAATATAGTATAAGATTAATTTCCAGAAAGTACACACAGACTAACAAAACCAATCTATGATGATAGTGAGTGGTTTGGAGGAGTAGGAATAATCATGGAAAGGAATAAATAAATTAAAAAAAGGAATAAAGGAAAGTTAAACTTTCTTTTTAAAAAAAAAAGATTTTATTTATTTATTTGACAGAGAGAGACACAGCGAGAGAGGGAACACAAGCAGGGGGAGTGTGAAAGGGAGAAGCAGGCTTCCCTCAGAGCAGGGAGCCCGATGCGGGGCTTGATCCCAGGACCCTGGGATCATGACCTGAGCCGAAGGCAGACGCTTAACGACTGAGCCACTCAGGCGCCCCAGGAAACTTAAACTTTCTGAGGGAAATATTTTATATCTTATTTGGGATGGTGATTACATACTTGTACAAACTCATCTTAAGTGCTAGGTATTGTATTATATATAAATTATGCCTCACCTTTTTAAAGAAAGAAAAAAATACTGAATAAACCAGAC